TTTTGTATTTTGGCTAAGTATATTCCATAAAATAATGCCACATGTTGAAATTGTCTTTAACCAATTACAAAAAGTATGCACCGATTCTGTTAAGGTCAAAAATGATTTAGAGAATTTTGAAGCAGCAATTCAAACTATACGAGAACAAATGGATAGCATTATTGACGAGATTGAACGAGTGCAGAGAGAAACTGATGAACCGGCAAGAAAAAAAAGGCAAGTTGAAGAAGGCAGCAAAAAACGGGATGCGTTAGAAATATGCGATGCAGTATTATCGCAAATAAGAACAAGATTTAACTTTTCTGGACATTTAGTTGCTTCTAATTTATTTGTGTCTGAAAAGTTTTCTGTTTATAAACATCAGTTTCCTGAAGCACATTTAAATGACACATGCACACAATTTTCATTTTTAGACAAAAACAGGCTTAAAACTGAGTTACAAGTATTATATCAGAGAGAAGAATTGAGTACTACTTCTGGAGCTGTTCCACTATCCATTTTATTGAACGAGGAAGGATTAAATTGTACGTTTCAAGAAACTCTTAAGCTCTTAAGTATTTTAATCACTATACCGATGTCAACATCTGAAGCAGAACGCTCTTTTTCAATGCTGAAACGGATTAAAACTTTCCTCAGAAACACAATGAAGGAAGAAAGGCTTAGTGCTTTAGGAATGCTGTCTGCAGAAAAACATTTTGTTAGTGGCATTGAAAATTTTAATAATAAGGTAATCGAAAACTTTGCTACCAAAAAAGAAAGAAGAATGGACTTCATGTATAGAAAACTTTGAAGTTATAGGTACTTCTCCACACTTGTTTTATAATTTGGTGCGCGTGTGTAAATAGTTTTATTTTTGATTTTTTTTTGGACATATAGATTTATTGAACCTCAAGAACTTTGACCACTAACTATCAGGGGTAAGTTATAAGTTATTCTTTACAATTTTGAATCGATTCAAAATTATGGCTTCCATGCTGGCACTACCTCACTGAATTGGCACGAGCCGCCACTGATCGCAAGTATTACCAAAGCATAGCTAAAGGAGGAAATTAATTATAAAATCCTATCATCCCCGTTTATTAAACAATAGACAGGGATGCACATCGCAACACAGATAATGTGTCTGCCTTGCTCTACATGAGTACACCCGGCATGAATAGCTACTTAAATACCCTTTCCAGGAAAAAGAATGTGCGCCGGTGTATTGGGTTGTCACTTTGGTAGGCAACGGTTGTCAAATAATCCAAAAGTATCCATCAAAGCTACGCAGTTATGGCGACAAGCAGTGCAGTGTAAACATATAGGCTTTCTAATCTGTGCGAGTTCGTTGTTCAAGACGAGAATATGGTAAATGGATGGGTCGGGAAGTGTCCCTTTACCGAGATACCGGCTGTCGGAAATTTGATCGCCTCTCATGAGATTGATTAAGGACAAAACATAAATATTCTTCAAATCATGTTATCATGAGAGGAAATCACTCTAGTAATACACTCTATACTTCAACAGGCGGCATTTTAGGACCTATTTCTACCCTACGGTGATTGCGACTGTATTTTGAATGACCCTGTATTTACACTGGCGGAGTATAGACCTTTCACTGAAACAAGGCAGTTACGTCATATTTAGTAAATTTGAATGCAAAATAGGTCCTAAATTGGTAAATATACGAGTAGTTTAAATTTACCGAGTACATTTATGTTGGAAAAAGCTTTCTGTATTTTGACATTGTTGCAAAGATTGAGAGGTAATTACGCCAACGGCTGTTGTTTACTTGTGGTTTATTTCCTAGGACCTAGTAGTTTTAATTAGTGTGACAACCATGTGCGTCACTGTCATTATCTGACGTTGCGACGTAACTGCTTTGATCCAGTGAATATATTGTAAGTGCACGCCCCATAAATCCCCCTCAGGTTGGTGACATCTGTTATACCGAGATGCGATATAAAAAATCCTTTAGGATTAACTTGATGTGGCGCATCGATTGAAGAAGGCAAGCCCGGAACCATACACACAACATATCAGAATATAAAACACATCACGGGAAATAAAACTATTGTTTTCTACACCGCGCAGGCAGAAGCCTAAATGCCAGTGCGCCGCGGCTGCTATGAGGATGAGAAAGAAACTTTGTTAATCAGATTTTTGAACTGCCTAACGTTAGTAAACTGTGAAAAGCCTCCTCTTGTAGATTGTTCCACAATCTCGTCATGCTAGGGAACAAAGATCAGGCAGGTCAGTCTGGAAGGCACATCGCGCGGCGGCATCATGGAGGAGAGCTCAGAGGAGCAGAGCCCGTTGGCGTAGCGGTAAAAGAGAGCTAGATCGTCGACGGCCCGACGGTGAGAGAGGATAACGAAACTGTCTGTTAGAGAAGAGTCATTGATCAGTCGGACAGCGCCCTCCTCTGACCAGCATCGAGCATGGGTCGGCAGCTCCCCAAACATGTGAGCAATACTCGAAGCTAGGTCTTATCTGGGCCTTGTATAGAGTGAGGAGGTCATGTGGAGAAAAATACTTGTTAACCCTATACAATAGCCTAGCTTTTTTCCAGCAACTGCCGCTATTGACGAGATGTGTTCGTGCCAGATCAAGTATTTGGTGATCTGAACTCCGACCAGCCGAAATGAACGACTCTTTGGCAGAACTCGGCCATCCATCGCAACTGGATGATGCTTTTTGTTATCATGGTTTAGTAGTACTGTGTTTTGGAAGTATTAAACTGTATAAGATTGTTCATCCCTAACCAGTGATCATCAGCAAATCTATGGATTGGATTGATCGTACAGGAACGGAGGTCGTTGATATGTAAGAGGAACAATGTCAGAGCCAAGACCGATCCCTGGGGAACACCCGTGTTGACGTTGTGGGATGAAGAGGAGAACCCGTCAATTACGAGGGACATCCTGCGGTCAGAGAGAAAGTCAGCCATCCTTCTGCAAAGCTTCTCTGCGAGGCTACAGGATGGAAGTTTGCATAAGAGCGCAACATGCCACAGCTGTTCGAAAGCTTTCGTGATATCAAGAGCAGCGACATGACCCTCGCCCTAAGACTAGATGAGTTTACTCCACAATTGCGTGACGTAAGTTAGGAGGTCCCCTTTGGATATCTCACGATTTATGCACCTCTCCATCACCTTACTGATAACAGAAAGTAGGCCTGTAGTTGAAAGTTTTAAATAGCCGATAATTTTTTGAGATGAAAGCCTTTCCCGCATTTCACATGTATACATATTAATAAATGTTCTTATTATGTTCCATATTATGCAATCGCTACCGTCCCTTGATTTTCCCCAAAAATTGTACATTTTCCACAATTTGCTTGCTATATAGTATAATTTCGGTTTGGAATAGTGTGAGTCACCATGACAGACTTCTACATAATCCATTTTATACTGATTGTGAACATACATATGCTGTATATTAATTAGTCTGTTACAGGAATATGGTAGGCACGTTTCGGTCATACAAATAAGCTTGAGGAATTAAATTATTGAGAATTTGAATATTTGAAACGATTATAAAAAGTGTCCACGTACATTTCATAATTCACCAAATATTGAGATTTGTCTAATGAATAATGTTTGATGAAGTGGGATTTCAAGGATTTTTGCATTTGTATTTGCTAAAAAAATGGCGCGGGTTTTTTTCAATGTTAGAGGAGGTTGACCTGTAGTTCCGACATTATTGTTTATAGGCAATCTAAAATCATTGCTGAGTTCCGTAGTTTTTTATTTCAAAAGCATCTCAAGAATTGTTTTTGAGCTATGCTAAATATAATTAGTGTTTTTGTGACTCAATGTTTGTAATATCTTTTTTTGTAATTGTCCCTAGACTCTTGGCCAATTAGCCAGAAGCAGATTATGCATACAAGTACCTCGCTTAAAACATTTCCCATATACGCATGCCAGAATAATATATAAATAATAGTAACGAATCTTACTAGTTTGTCCAGGATGACTGGCTTTTAAATTAACAACACATTATCATGTATGTCATAGCAATCTCCTTCCCCGGTACCATCCGAGTATGTAATAGATCATGAAACATTCCATTCTAAAAAACTGTCAAAATTTAACTATTTTTTAGATGTAAATGTCCTATATTTCATTGCACATTTAGATAGACTAAATACGAGTAGACTCTTCCAAAAGAAGGTTGATATAATATACTACAAACTTTTCGTCATTAGTTGTTGTACTATAAGCGAGTATCCTATGTACAAAACGCTCAGCTTTGATTTTTAAGAGTAGTGATTATATATGTACATTCTATGGCTTCAAAATGAGGTACCACTCGATTGCTCATTTCATTTAAACGAATGTTACAGGATTGCGCCCAGCAAATTTTTAACTGTTACTCTGTTAGAATATAACATTCTGCATTCTGCAATTTAACGATCCCCAATTTCAGCTTGCTAACTTGACGTTCAAGTTATCTATTATAGTTATCTGCATTGGTGCCATAGAACGTAAGCTTATTTTCTCGAAGGCTGAGCCTTAAGCTGGATTGGGTATCTGTTGGTGGTAAATGTTGATCAAAAACAAATGTTCCAATTTATTCATAATATATAATATACGTACATTTTCATATTAACATCGGGGACTTTCTCGTTGTGTATCAGAGATACGAGGTCTCGATGCTGCAGGGGCTCCGACAAGTGTGATTCGTGAATCATCTCACCCAATCCCCAAAGAGGTAAGTTTGACGAAAAAATAAAAATATGTATCTGAGTTGCTTGGCATACTTGAACCATTAATTTCGATAGATTATATAATGGATTGAAAAAATCCGTGGTTTCCTAATTGAATGTCAATATTTAAGGGGAAGATCTTTTCAAAAATAAAACTTAATATGAACGTAAGTCCTAAACGTCATAGCTCTTGCACGTCTTTATTAAGATCTGTAATACCAGTTGGAATATTTTTTTTGAAATATGACATCCACATACTCTTTCGGTATTTTTACGATTATGCACGGTGGTCGTGATAATAGCTTCAGAACAATAAGAAATAGAAGGTAACACAATAGTATACCATCATTTTGATCTCTTCTACGGTACTATAATTTTATTTTTAAAGTTAAAAAACGGCTGTTTTGTCGCTCAGGACTGACAGTTATTTTTAGTAAGATACTTCAACTTTTTCGGGCAACTGAAAAAAAAAAGATATTTAAATGAATCCCATTTTAGACGTTTACTGCAATTGCATTCGCACATGATTTTATTTACTTTATTTTTTCATACACTAAACATATATAACGGATAGTTGACTGCGAGACAAAAAAATAATGTCAAAATTACCCACCTTTCAAAATTTAATCCATTATTTTACTTACAATAATTAGAGAGCTGCTTACGTAGGTATAGAATCGAATAACGGGCATTTTTCCAATTTATCAATGAAGTGTGACCCGATTCGGTTGAATATATTTTAGGGAACAATTTAAAAATATCGTTTAAGCCCAAAGGTAGATCGAATGTATATCACCCGGTTTTTCATGAGGGCTCACAATATGAGAGCTTGTTTTGCTCCCTGTATATTGTAAACTTGACAACAGGGTTCTTCAAGGTCACTTTTACTTCTGGCTCTCCAATTTTAGCGTCATCTGCCATAGATCAGTCGCCATCAATATCACTCTTGTTTCCGATTCGGCGTCTAATGTGATGGGTGCCTTACGAACTGAAATTAGAATTTACAGTTTCAGTGAAGTAGGCAACAAAACAAATTTCAAACAGGAGAAGAAATAAAAATTATCAAAACCACGTCTAATGTGGTTCGGGCGGTACTAACTAAAATTGCATGAGAATAAATAAAAGTTAACGGAATTACAAAAATTTAGCGTCATTTTGGTTTCTTCTATGGTACTATAATTTTCTGTTTGAGGCTAAACAACGAATAGGCACTTTGACTGCTTTGTCGCCCAGGGCTGTCAGTCGCGGATAAGATAATTCTACTTCTTAGAACGGTTGAAAAAAATGTATTTAACTGAACCTCATTTTAGAGACTGGCCTTATTTTTCTTCGCCAAAATCCACTATTCATTATGTTCTTGCAAACATTGATATTTACTGCACATTAATTCGAACGTGAATTCATTTACTTTATCTTTTTTCTACCCTAACAAGGGAACCGTATAATGGATCGTCGACTGCGAGACAAAAAATGAACGTCAAAATTACCCTAAGTCCTTTCAGAATTTATCTCATCATTTCATTTTTGGGCTTCAGTAAGATCGTGGCAGGCAGTAAAGCTTTTCATTCAACAGAGGTGGATAGAGATGCTGGATTTCATTTCTGCATTTTATAATTAACAATACACACGATCCAGAATAATACGTGGGGGCATTCGGTGTTGAGAGACCCGCAAAAAGCTGTACATTGGCTAGCAGCACGGTGGACTCTCAAAGACCTACTGACAGAGACAGCAAAAGCCGTTTATAAGAGCTCCGCAGTATCAGATTTCGGCCAGCCATCCAAGCCAACCGAAGCAGATGTGTTTGTAAAACAGTTCACGTGCCAGCATAAACCACAGCAGTCCGGCAGCATACGGATGTTCTAGCTTGCCGGTTGTACGAAAAACCAAAAGACTTCGTCGCTCCTCGTCGCTACGCCACATCCTCTTCAGATATCCACGGACGATAAAGACAGTCAGTGAACCTGTAAAAATCATCTTGTTGTATTATTAGAAGGAACAACGTCGAGCATAAATGAATTATTCATAACTGGAACATTGTTAAATGCTACGAGCCGATATGCATACCAAATTCCGCCATGCTATTATGTCTGGACATAATCAGGATTATTTAAAGTGTAATTTCATGTGCTGATATGATTATACAACTTACATTGTATTATAGCCACGTGTGATCAGAATTAATCTGTAATATATAGCACTGACGCGGGGCTATGGGTCATTGGAGCATGCTATCCTAACACAAAATACAGGTATTCTTTTCTTCCGATAGAATTTCCAGATAACAGCAGGGCACAATATGTACTATGTAATGTAGAATGATACACATATATTTCATATAGGGTAGTCACAAAGGCAGAACCTCACTATTGAATTATACCAGCTTCTAAAGCAACCATGTTTGCTGATTACCTGTAAATTTACAGGACAATTACGGAGAGAAATGACATGGTGGGCCTTCCACGGGACCTTGCTGCGCTGTGGCAGTGGACACAACTTAATGACTGGTATATATATATATATATATATGAGAAGTAGTCACTGCCAAAGCCAACGACTAGTTGGGTACAAAATACAATTACTTGTTAATTGGGAAAGTGGTAAAACTTTTAGGCTTAAGTTGATTCTTTTGACGATAAAATCAAGCTTTCGGCATTCTCTATGGAGCCATCATCAGGATTCTGAAAACACAATTGTCATGCTAGCAAAGAAAACAGGACAGACTTAAAATGTCAGACAACTAACTCGTCTGTGAGGTTGCAGCCACAAGGTGTTTCAGAAAGAACGTAGAGAAGATCGAACTTGTTTTCAGTATAAAAACAAAAGGACGGGGAATTGGGCTTGTTAAAAAACGGCAGATAGCTTCGTTAAAAGTTAAGAAAAAACAAAAATTATATCAATACACCCGAACAAGTTAAACATATTACACGTGGGGAGACATTTTGTTGAAACAATCGGAATGCAGTCCCTAACCTTCTACTACCGCTACACGTGGAGAGGGGGAAGGCACGGAACGGTAAAGCGTCGACAGAAGACAAGTGATTGACGCGACGGAACGTGGAAATGTACACATCCCTGTCCAACTTTGGGTATGAAGTATACGAGGGACGCTCGGTAAATCTCCACCCAAAATTACTAAAATGCTGGAATAGCTTGTTTTGGAAAAGAGTGTGTGGTTCATATGAGTGCAAGAATGTGTGATATTGATACAACCTTGAAAAGATGGGTTATGTGAGTTTATATTAAAAATGTGAGAAAATGTATTCTAATTTTGTGAAGATGTTGGATCAATTTGGACATGTAGCCGTTCTAGCTTTTCGCAATTCAACAGGTAGGAATAAATGACACTGAGCTGCTTAACATCAGCCTTTTTATTCATGCAATGATCTGTCATGAAAATGTGGGACATTTCAAAAATAAACGTTTTGAGAGTCTTTTTTCTTTATCAAGAACCTCAATACTGCCATAATTCATAGAGTGACCTGTGTTGTTAATATGCGACGCCAAAGCACATCTTTCTGGATGTAATCTGGCATTACTTTTGTGTGACGTTATCCTGCCTTTCAGCGACCTAGAAGTTTGGCCTATATAAGCTAAATTGCAGTTGTTGTAATTAATTCGATAGACAGTATTGGTTGAATCATGCAACTGAACCTTATCTTTCATTTTGGACAACAAACAGTGGACTGTGAGAACTGATTTACAAGCAAAACGACAATTAAAGGGATTTGTATAATCCTGTAGCCTGATCAATTTTGGTGTTAGTTCTTTGATGTATGGCAAGACAACATAGTTAACTCTGGAAATAGGAGCAACCACTGTAGTGCTGTTGTTCTCATTAGTTGAAGAATTAATGGGTATCTGGTTTGATTGACCCGTGTTGTCATTTTCACTATTGTTATTAGTGATTGGCAAAATATTCGGAGGAGAGCTGAACAAGATTCTGTTAACCAAATACTTAGGATAGCTATTGTTGATAAATAAGACTGAAAGCTTCCTTAAATTGGAGAAAGATGGAAAGTACTGTCAGAGATTTTTGTAACCCTGTTCTTCATTTGTTTCACCAGGTTTATTTTTATTTTAAGTTCATGGTAAGAGCTGAAGTTCAGGAACCTTCCGGAAGAAATTGGTTTCCTGTACCAGTCTACCAGTAATAAATTGTCATTGGTACGAATCAATCTTGAATCCAAAAAGGGAACAGATTGATTGTCATCTTCTTTTTCGATGATGAACAATATCATCCACCCTATCATAAGGAAGATAAACGATTATATCGTCCACATACTTTTTAATGAAAATTGGCAATACTTGAATAACAACATCAAGCAGGTCATCCATTACATATTCTGCCAAAATTGGAGATGAAACAGAGCCCATGGGGCAGCCATGTGTTTGTGAAAACACTTTGTTATTAAAGGTAAAGTAATTGTTCTGGAAAAGGTACTCTACGATATTGATGAAAGAATCCAGAGTTAGGTTGCTGTGTTGGCAAATTAGATCCCAATGTTTGTTGATGAATCTGATGCAAGCTTCTAAATACACATTGCTGAAAAGTGAAACTACATCTAAACTCGCAATAACATCATCTGAAATCTATTAAATTGTTGACAAACATCAAAAGAGTATTTTATAAAGTATTCTCCTTTGATGTGAGCTGCCTTTAGAGTATCTGCAATTAATGAAGATAAAGCTAGTGTGGCTGATTCAATAGAAGCTACAATGGGTCTTACTGAAAGTACCGGTTTGTGTATTTTGGGAAGAGCATAAAATTTTGGAGAGACAGAATTATAAGTGATTAAGGACTTCTTTTTGTCTTGGTTGATTTGACCAGTGCTGAGTAGCTTGTTAACAATGTCATTGCAACCTTTCTCTACTTTAGATGTGGGGTCTTTATTGATAACCTTGTAAGAGGGATCATTAGCAATCAAATTATTACATAGCTCAAAATATTGTTGTCTTAACATGATTACGGTAACAGTGCCTTTGTCTGATTTTGTAACAATTAACTCGGGATGATCCTTAATAAATTTCCTTGTTTTATTTAGCAGGTTGTGGTAGAAAGAGTGTTTTCTGTTGATGCTACTGTTGTGAAAGTAATTTGTGATAATATTGGTGGAACGAGTTATCGCAATGTTCCTTTCTGTGTCATCACTAATGGAAGAAGATATAGAATCAACATCAGCCAGAATATGTCTGATTGCAATGTCACTGTTGACAAATGGTTCAACGCTAAATTTTGGACCCAACGATAGAGAACTTGTGATGTATTATAATGTCTTAATTGTCTAGATGGAAAATTATTAAAAATTAAGAGGGACGTGAGTGAAATGATTTCAGTTTTCAAAAGTTCAAGGGATGAGTGAAGTTTTTTTAATTGTTTATGACAAGAAGAGATTTCAAGAGAAAGTATTTATAGTTTACTTCATGAGCCAAACGTTTTCTGTGTTTAATTCAATTCTTCAGAAGTGTAACCGAGCGTGTTCCATGACGTTCTTCAATTTGTTGGAAGTATTCCAAATCTGTGGATGTTACGTGAGAAGTAGTCATTGCCGAAGCCAACGACTAGTTGGGTACAAAATACAATTACTTGTTAATTGCGAAATTGGCAAAACTTTTAGGCTTAAGTTGACTCTTTTGACGATAAAACCAAGCTTTCGGCATTCTCTATGAAACCATCATCAGGATTCTGAAAACACAATTGTGATGCTAGCAAAGAAAACAGGACAGATTTAAAATGTCAGACAACTCACTCGTCGCTGAGGTTGCAGCCACAAGGTGTTTCAGAAAGAACGTAGAGAAGATCGAACTTGTGTTCAGTATAGAAACAAATTGGGCTTGTTAAAAAACGACAGATACCTTCGTTAAAAGTTAAGAAAAAATAAAAATTATATTTATACACCCGAACAAGTTAAACATAGTACACGTGGGGAGACATTTTGTTGAAACAATCGGAATGCAGTCAATAACCTTCTATATATATACGTATATATATATATATATATATGGGTACAAAATACAATTACTTGTTAATTGGGAAATTGGCAAAACTTTTAGGCTAAAGTTGACTCTTTTGACGATAAAATCAAGTTTTCGGCATTCTCTATGGAGCCATCATCAGGATTCTGAAAACACAATTGTGATGCTAGCAAAGAAGACAGATTTAAAATGTCAGACAACTTACTCGTTGGTGAGATTGCAGCCACAAGGTGTTTCAGAAAGAACGTAGAGAAGATCGAACTTGTGTTCAGTATAAAAACAAAAGGACGGGGACATTGGGCTTGTTAAAAAACGACAGATACATTCGTTAAAAGTTAAGAAAAATAAAAATTATATCAATAAACCCGAACAAGCTAAAAATATTGTACGTGGGGAGACATTTTGTTGAAACAATCGGAATGCAGTCACTAACCTTCTACTACCACTACACGTGGAGAGGGGGAAAGGCACGGAACGGTAAAGCGTCGACAGAAGACAAGTGATTGACGCGACGGAACGTGGAAATGTGCACCTCCCTGTCCAACTTTGGGTATGAAGTATACGAGGGACGCACAGTAAATCTCCACCCAAAATTACTAAAATGCTGGAATAACTTGTTTTGGAAAAGAGTGTGTGGTTCATCTGATGATGGCTCCATAGAGAATGCCGAAAGCTTGATTTTATCGTCAAAAGAGTCAACTTTAGCCTAAAAGTTTTGCCAATTTCCCAATTAACAAGTAATTGTATTTTGTACCCAACTAGTCGTTGGCTTTGGCAGTGACTACTTCTCATATATATAATATATATATATATATATATATATGTATTTATACACATTAAGTACTATTTCATGTTTCTACAAAAATAGAAGTAGAATTTCTACTTGCTTAAAATAAATAATGATACGTTATCTAGGGCTAGGGACCTTGGAGTGGTTTTTGATGGAAGAACTAATTACATGTTTTTAGGGATAGTAAAGGACATGGAGATGTTGGACTTTGAAGAAATTGTGTGTTTTCAATCAATACCTTACGAATTTTATACTGCTCATTTGTAAGGTCAAATTTACAATATGCCACAATAATATGGTCTTCTTCTCAGTACCAGTCTGATAAAGATGATTTAGAGCTTTTTCAGAATAAATTTTTACGTCTTGCAACATCAAAGATGAACATTACCTATATTGGAGCATCGGCGATTGGTCTTTGATAGTTGTTTTGCTTTCAAGATTTTATTGCGCGGCTTGCCTATCGGGAAACGTTATATATATTTTTTTATACTCCAACTACCACGAAGGCCTAAGGCTTAAACACCTATGGCCTACGAGATCCGCCGGGTGGTACATCCACGTTCTACAATCAGAGACCATCTGCCACCTACGATATTGATAAATTTTGACGTATCCTGAAAATTGCATAACCTGTTTGCTATGGAGTTCCATCCGACAAATTATAGTAAGTACTCGCCACAAGATAGAGCACTTCGTCTGATCAATTTGGTTTAGTCCAATGTTGACAACTTTACCTGTTCAGTCTCAGATCTTAAAAAGGGTCTTTTAAATTGCGATTTTATATAATAATGTTTTTGTGTGCTTGTATGTTTTAAACAGGTAACTTATTGACCCGATTTTGCGCTGCCTAAGGTTATCTGGCCTTGTACAGGGTAAGGAGCTTAGACCGGTGTGAAGTTGGCAGACAAAATTTAGCAGACAATTTGCGGAAGATACCCGAATGAACAGTGGCGTCGACATCCTCGACCAGACTGTGATTGTGAAGGATACAGCTAACAGCTCGCAACAATAAATATATGCACGAGAATAAGCACCCCTATAGGAAGAATAATTTTCCACCCACAGTAACAAGAGTTAACCCAAAACCTTTCTTCGAATTTTCACTTACCGATTATATGGTATTGAAAGTAATTAATGAGCTAAATAGCATATACTGAGAAAACCTCTAAAATGAAAAAATATAAATAAAACTTCATTTTCACCCCCAAAAAAATGATTCCCCAAAATGATTTATCTCTCAAAAAAATACTCTATTCATGGGCTAGGTGGCATGGTGTGAGAAAGCTTCTGAAAGGCTGGCAGATAAAAAAATATGTTTATAAATTCATTTTCACCCCCAAGTAAATTATTCCCCAAATTCAGTTGCACCTCAAAAAAATACTCTATTATTGAGACAATTTATAGGCTGGGTGGCATGGTGTGAGAAAGCTTCTGAAAGGCTGGCAGATATAAAAATATGCTGAAAAAATAATTTTTACCCCCAAGAAATGATTCCCCAAACAAAAACAATGACAATAAGCGTGCATACATATTAAAAGTCGCTATATGATAATTCAGAATCCAACATGTTAAATATGTTTTCTTTAAAATAGAGCATTACGAATAAACATATTATAAAACAGATTTTGAAAAATAAACGAACAAATAGGCAAAACTGTGATAGTGAATGAGACACTCAATACACTTCCCAAGGGAAACAAACGTTTCTTAGATCAGCTATGAAAATAAAGGATAGAGCATACAAAACAAAAAAAGAGATGTACGTTTGACTGCATTAACGCCGAAACGTTGACAATTCGATTAAAGTTATTTTTAACACCTGTTGATTTATCCCAAGAATCCGGATAACTTGAAAGCAGATTATGTCCACCATTGTATACTTCATCTACCTAAGTTGTGGTAGGACCCAGTGACTCCGGGTAGTTCGGACAACACAATAGAAATTCTATACAACGGAACATTGATTGTTAAAAAACTACAATTGTTTTCGGTTTTTCCCAGACTGTTGATTTCATTCGCGTCTCATACACGGACGCAATGCCCGCCGTTCGGTATCCTTTGAGCCTTGGGTTTTTTGGAAGTGATGGCGTCAGGAAGCGACTTACAACGACATAGAGCATTAAAAGTACTGCTTGCTAAATAAAGCCTAACATTATAAAATTATGGTCATATGATATTATTGTGGAAAATACTAAGCAAAGTACCACTAGACATTTGCAACGTTTGTGTCATATTATATCAATATAAATCACAATCGTATGTCAGTCAATTAGAAAATTCTATGGGGTGATTATAGATAATTCAGTTTTGGCATCTAAAATAACATGACTGCCTTAGGGGCCAATTCCAGTTCTTTGTGATCCTCTACGAAGACATGCATGAGATTATATGAACGCAGATATTGTAGACATCTAGTGACCTTTCGCTTACAAAGTAGTTTGAGCCTTAAGGTACAGGGTGTCCCGCTATAAACTGACCACCTTTCGCTTTCTTATATGACCGTTTAGTAAAAAAATGCTCATACAATTATTCTCAGAAAAGTGCTACTGAATGAAGTTGTATTTTTTTAATGGAAGTCCTGTATATTTTCAGTTGGGAATTTTCTTCATAGGCATTCCACAGTAAGCAAATGTTCGTAGTAATACATATGTACACCAAAGCCGAATTAACCGAGATATTGAGTGCCGAAAAAGTCTGAATGCACCAGCCCTACCCTGAATCTTACGTGGAAATGTAGGATGTTTTGTGGTACAATGTGTATCCAAATCAGAGGCTGCGCGATGTATTGGTTAACCTGTTGATTTATTTACAAATCGGAATTGTAAAACCGAAATTAGCATCTTCCTGTAGCAACAACGCAGATAGCCAACGCATGATCTTAAGTGGTTTCTGCTACACTCACCGATTCAATCATAAATTTCACTTGACTGATCATCTGTAAAAACCAGTGAGCGGAGCATTTGGAGAATTTTATGCCTAAAACATAACTATCATAGTTTTATTCGTTTCATACATACAAAAAATATCTATACAATCTTAATTATGCTTTTGTTTACCTTCTACTACTTTATAGAATTTTGGATTGGGGGGTAGTTATGAATAATAATTACACAGAGGTTGATGTCAACCAAAAATTAATTCTAAAGTTGCTCCTCCATAAGGAGGTTACTTATCAAAGTCATTCTCTGCATATGAAGGCTCGACTATTAGATTGCAGACAAATTTATTTTAATAGTGGTCTAGTACATTATACAGTGCTTTTCTTTAATGTCCCAGACCCCTTTGATTTTTTGAACGGATCAATTCAAAAAATTAAAACTTGAGGTAATGAAATTGATGCGTGGATACCATATTTTAGAGGAAAATTGACAGTTGGCCGCTGGGTGCCATCATGGTAAAAAATTATATGAAAACGGGTGTCTCGTCGCACATCATTTTGAAGCTCATGACGAGTACTTCATAACCCTAGAATATAAAGTCAATACCTTTACCTTCGACAAAATGGTGGTACATTTCATCACCTCAAGTTTTAATTTTTTGAATTGATCCGTTCAAAAAATCAAAGGGCATTAAAGAAAAGTACTGTATGTGTATTAAACATTCAAACATATGAAGTGTAAATTATGGTATCCTAATAACTAGTTTCCTTAAGAGACCATCACCTTAACTCAGCAGTACGCTAGAATGACCATCCCCTTAAGGTGACCGTTTTTTATCGATCATTTCTTCGAATAACGACTGTTTGCACAGCTCTCCAACTCTTATCAATTTCTAAGATTTACAGGTGTTACTTCTAGAGCTTTCTGGAATATTTCTTTGTTTGAGATTTAGTATAAAAACATCGCTGTGCCAGCATTCATGATTCATTCATTCTCTGACCGTTCTAATTTATCATTCTGTACTACAACAATTGTACTGTGTCGACCGAAGTTTTATAATAATAAAAAAAAGCTACTTTACTGGAAACGAACTTTTATTGGCGCTGCGAACAGGATTAGCCAGGCCTAAGTTCGCCAAGAAGCTGTACTCACTTTACAAGTTAATCTGGTTTTTCGGCTGCTGATCCGCTATTAAGAAGACAACGAAGGTGAGAATTTCAATTCTCCTAAGCTGCTATCCAGTGTCCAGTTATAAGTGGCAGGTAAGACCACGCAAGTTCCTGTACCGCTACCAAGATTAGAAGCTAGAAACTTGGAAGGCCGATACACCGCTACACTTGAGGAATCGAAACTACGTTGAACAGTAAGAAGAATGAATTCCTGGATCCACCTCGCGCTGGCATCCTTGTAAGTAGATTTAAGAAAATTTTTCGTCATTAAGAAGTCAAGAAGAAAAGAATTTTGTTCGAATGTTTACAAGAAAAGAAGGATATTGCGTTAAGAAAATAATTTCAAGAAGACTTTAGTATTTAGGAAATCTTTATTATTTTGATGCCTTTTACAAAAAGATTTGTAAAAAAGACACTAGTCCTTACCCGAGAGTCAGATCAAGATCTATTTACCATACTAGTACTAACGAAGATTTAGAGCCACTAGATTTAAATACGAATCGATCTATTGAAAACACATATATTTAAAATTTATCTGAAATTACCTTAGAACCATTTGTAAGTATGGCGACCAGCAATAACCCAGTGATAAATCGTGAAAACACTCACGATGTCCAGTTAAAATTTAACTTTCTCAAAAATACTATTCCTTATTTTTCACGAGGCTTAGCCATATTTTTAGAAAAATCCGAAAACTTTTTGAGAGAATTTGCAAATACCTGCTTTGAAAGTCAAGCTGAATTTGCTCTTAGTTATGTTAAAGACGAAGCTGCTAATATTATTCGCACAACTACACCACAAAATTGGCCTCAGTTGAAAGATGTTTTAGTTAGATTTTTAAAGACAGTAGAGATGAAGATCATTTGTTGCATGAACTCAATGCTTGCTTTCAAAAATCGAGTCAATCCATTACTGAATTTTACCAAGAAATTTTGGACACACTTCATGATTTGAACAATTATGCTTTAGTTGAATTAGGTGACGCTGCTACTTATGCTATGTCGATGTATCGACAAAGAGCTTTGAATTCATTTTTAACTGGTATTAGAAGTCCATACAGCGAATAACTAACTATAATATATATAACTATATAACTCTTAATTTAGAACAATGTCTACGATTATGTCAAAAACTTGATAATGTCCAGTCACAACGAGAATACAAAAAACATCTCGCTAGTGCTTATAAAACCAAGCCCCAATTCCCAAATTCGAAACCACCAGTGTTTCCAAAGTCAAATCCTAATAATAATATTGTACCAAGAAATAATTTTACTCCGTTTAGGCCACAGCCTTTTAATTATTTCTTTCCTAGACCCCAAGTAAATCGACCCACACCTATGTCGACTTCTACAATTCAGAGTCATAATCCAAATTTCAATCAACTTGCCATGGTCTGTCCTAATTTCTTTACAAATAATGGATAAAAACCAAACTTTATTTCTAAAGAACTTACGAACATTCAAGAAGACACTTCTTCTTATAATCAATATGATTATTCCCAAGATTATTCTGAAGGTTATGTTGAATACCCACGTGAAAGTTATTACCAAGACTATGAACAACCGTCTCAGTCCCAACAAATTAAGCGACGATTCTTTTTTAGACAAAGATCAGTCGGAAGACCCCCCTTCGAATTAGACTTGAATACTTATAACAACTCTTATTTACCTTATATTTACAATCCCAACTTAGACTTATTAATTTCAATCGATACCGGAGCTGATGCTTCTCTTATGAACCCCGATGTTGCAAAAAGAAAATTTTCAAAATTCATTTATAGAAAACACTTTTCTATTAAAACTGCCTTTGATACAAAGAAAGGTCAATACGCATGTCGAGTCCCAATATTCAAACATTTAGGAATCCCCACCGAAGTCGAATTCTTACTTTTAGATTGGCATAAGAATTACGATTGCCTCTTAGGTTATACAGACCTACAGAAATTCCAAAGCAACTTAGATATTTCAAAAAATGTATTGTCCGTCAATGAATTCGAAAGTTTATGTCACGTCGATATTTCTCCTGGAAAACTTCCCAATCAAACTTTTTCTAACTTACAAACGCCCCTCGTCTCAGACTATGTTATTACAAGTCCTGCGAAATATCTCAATTCGAATGAATACACTCCGTGCTTCATATGCCCTGTTGTTGACAAACAAATTCTTTACCCCGAAAATTTATCGCTAGTCGACCTTAACTTTCTGCAGGTAGAATCACTGATCGATTACGAGTTTGATGAACCTTCGCTATCTCATTCAGATATTTCCAAGTTCTTACGAACTGATCATATGAATCCCGAAGAGAAACATTTCATTATAAATCTTTGTCGCAAGTATCCCAAAGCTTTCTTAAAACCTGATGAAAAATTATAATCTTGTACTGTCACATCTCACTCTATTAGGACAACTCACGACGATCCTATTTTCGTGAAATCTTTTAGATATCCCCATCATTTAAGTAAAACAAGTAGCTAAATTACTTTCAGATGATGTTATTCGTCCTAGCACATCTCCTTATAGTTCCCCGGTATGGATAGTTCCAAAAAAATTAGACGCTTCTGGTATTAAGAAATACCGTATGGTTATTGAGTATCGTAAATTAAACGATATCACGATCGAAGACAAATATCCATTACCTCGTACAGACGAGATATTAGAAAATTTAGGCAAAGCTAAATATTTCTCTACTTTAGATTTAGCCCAAGGCTTTCACCAAATCCCAATGCATCCCGATTCGATCAAAAAGACTGCTTTTACTGTCGAAAACGGACATTACGAATATGTTCGGAAGCCTTTTGGATTAAAAAATGCCCCTGCAACTTTTCAAGGAATGATGCATTCCGTCTTGCTCCCCTTCATAGGAAAATTCTGTTTTTTCTATTTGGATGACATTATTTTCTCTCGTTTTCTCCAAGAACATTTAATTCATTTGAAACAAATTTTCGATTCCTTACTGAAAACCATTTAAAGATTCAACTCGATAAAACTGAGTTTTTACGTTCTGATGTTCCATTCTTAGGACACGTTATAACTCCTGATAGTATTAAACCTAACCCTGACAAAATTCGAGCTATTGAAGAATTTCCCTTGCCAAAAGCTATTAGCAGATCCAATCATTTTAGGTCTTGCAAATTATTACCGTAAATTCAGTAGAGACTTTGCTTCTCTCACAAAACCTTTAACTACAGGGTGCCCGCAAAGTTGGGGTTTTCCTTTTCAGAAACAACTACCCTTGAAATAACAAAGGTAATGTGTAGTGAAACGAGGGCGACCAAGTAAAAAAAATAAAGGAAAAAGTACTCACTCTCCAGTTGACGAGAAGGGCTAAGTACGTCTCTGCCCAAAATCATACCGCTCCAACAGAAAATGAAATCAGCTGAAGCGCTACCGAGCAGACGCAAAAACCACATTGATTGTCTTACACTTAATGGCACATCTTCTAACAAGGAAGGCAAAATGTTGCGTGAAAAGTCTAGGTATTGCATCCCGTCCAATCGATTTGGGAGAATAAACGGTCCAATGAGCATACCTTTCACCATGCCAGCCCAAACATTCACCGAAAATGTTTGTTGAAAATGACCAAACCTGAGTGTGGCGAAAGTTATTCACCCCATTACGCGTGAACGTAGATTCGTCTGTCACCAATATGCACTTCAAAAAGTCCGGATTATTGTCATGTTGATGCAACAACCACTCACAAAACCGCACTCTTGCTGGAAAATCGTGAGGTTGAAGGGCTTGTACACGTTGGACGTGAAACGGATACAGCCCCTCTTCACGCAGCGTTTGCCACACTTTAGTTTTTGATACTTGCACTTCTCTAGCCACGTCTCTAGTGACTGTAACCGTCGATTGAAGGTTGCATACTAACCTGACACACTGACCCTGACCCAGTTCTGCCGTCGGGTTGAGACCTTGTACCAGTCGGGGTGTCGGGGATATCCCGGCGGGTCGCGGCTACAGGACGGTATTCAGATATTTTTGATGTTGCAGAGCCCTTTATCTCAGTTCCCTTAAGACATTGGTGTATATGGTACTAAGAAAAATTGCTTATGTTTTCAAGATCTACACGCCATGTAAAGGAAAACCCCAACTTTGCGGACACCCTGTAGATGTTTAAATAGACGAGAAAAAATCCCATTCGATACACCAGAGTATCAAGAAGTTTTTCATTCTGTGAAAAAGGTTCTTACGAATACCCCAATTTTGTCTTACCCCGACTTTTCGAAACCTTTTACGCCTACTACTGATGCAAATAATATTGCTATAGGTTCTGTCTTGTTTCAAAATGGAAAACCCATTGCTTTTCATTGGAGAACTCTTAATACCACTGAAAGAAATTATTCCACGATTGAAAAAGAATTATTGTCTATCATTGATTCTTGTAAACACTTTCGACCTTACCTATTTGGTCACAAATTTACGATCGAAACCGATCATAAACCCTTAGTTTGGTTAGCAAATTTGAAAGGGCCCAACCAACGCTTAATTAGATGGAAAATAAAATTAGAGGAATATAATTACGATATTGTCTATAAGAAAGGTAAAGAAAATCATGTCGCTGACGCTTTAATTCGCATCGAAATTAATCACAATGATTCTCAGTCACTTGTTCCCAATACCTCTGACGATTCCCTCGTTCTATCTGAAACAGATGATCGCTCCACTAATACGAGACACACTAGTCCCGAGTCATGTCCAAATCTCATTCAAATTTCGGAAGACAAAAACTTTTATGCTTATCCCCATCGTCTTGAATTCGTCATTGGAAAATCCAATCAAGATATCAGAGTCCATGATTATCACAAATACGTAGTCACAAGTTCCCAACTTCATTCTTATTTACTTCGATTTTTGAACACTCATTGTAAACCTTCAATTAAGTACGGAATCTGGTTTGAAGACCCACGTTTTCTACAAAGTCTAACTCAAGTTATTTCTCGTTCCTTTACTCAAAATCAAATTCATTTGGAAAAATCTGCCTATAAGCCAGAATTAGTCGATCAAGAAACTTTCACCGACAAAGTCACTTTGTACCATCTTCTTAATCACAATGGTATTCAAGAAACTTATGCTCATTTAAAGCCTATACTTTTCACTAATAAAATATGA